ACACACACACACACACACACACACACACACACACACACACACACACACACTGTGGATATTGTTTTGAGGCTTTCATTATAAAAGCCTGGGTTTGACCCCACTGAGTCTCTCTGTCTTCTGTATGGGGGTGTGTTGTGGATATAAACATGGTTTTGTTTTGATCCCAGGTATACGATACGGGAATGATTCAGACTGTCCACAGCAGCAAACTCTTTGCCTGGTGCAGGCTCTGAGAGGGACCCTTTGCCAGATGCAGATAATTTATTTCTCAGGACTCTGAGGGGGAAACCAAGGCCAGAGCCAGAGAGTGTTGAGGAGGCTCCGAGAGAGAAGGAGGCTGCTGGTGCCTACCCCTGCTGCTCCTGGTGGCCGTTGACGCAGTGTGAGAAGTCAGAGATCTCCTGAAAGGAAGATCAGACTTCCCCCAAGGAACCCGAAACCCTAACCAGCAGGAAGCAGCTGGGGAAACTATGCCCCTTCTCCCCATTAATCTTTCTCTCCTTGCCAGTGTTGGGGTGCTGGAAGGGATTGGGGTGGATAAAGGAGAAAGCGGCATAAAATTTTAAATAAAACAGTTTTAAAAGTACGCTTGCTTTAAAAGTATGCTTGCTTTCTTAGCCACCCACTCCCTCTGTTGCAATCTGCCTCGAGTTGATATAGAACCAGAGGTTGGTGCGGGCCTCTCCAGATCTCATGTTGTGCTATTTGAGACATGAACATGCACAATTGTGAGTTAAAAAAAACCTCTTCATCCCAGAAGCAGCATGCCTCAGGTGCTGCAGCAGCAAAAACTGATTAATGCAGAGTGTCTTGACTTATACTGAACATAGCAACACCTCACTAATTCCAGCTCTGTCAGCCTGATTTTCACGATGGTTTGGCAACTGATGTTTATTTGTGAAGTCACTATTTCACAAATAGGACAACAATCATTTATCTAAATGTTTACATAAATAATCATTCACTCTGCAAATAATTTTGTGATCTTTTGGATCTTTCAAAAAACTCTGTAGACAACACTGCTGATCTACTTCTGGGCCGTCAGGAAACAACAATGGTAACAATTTATTGAGAACTAGAAAAACTTTTCTATGGCTTTGCAATATTAAAAACATTAAAATGAACTTTTTTTTTCTTAAGGCTGCCTCATTGATGTTGATTAAGATGTGTCTGTATAGGGGAGTTTCCATGTCTGTGCAAGATATCAAGTCTTGAACTCTGTGGCAAAGCTTTATTCCAAAGGCTGACAGGATTTTAAAGATGGAAGGACACCTCTGGCCCAGAAGGCCCTGACTGACTAGAAAGCACCTTAAAAGACAAACCGTGGAGAGAGAAGAGTCTGTCTGTTCTTTAGGAATGGTACCGTTGGCCTCGTCAGGCGAGAGCACTAGCCCAATGTACACAGAAACAAAACAGAACTCTCAGGCCAAGTGTGTTTCTCCCACAAAGGAATTTCCGAGTGCTCTCATCGTGTCTCAGAATATCTGTAGCCAATCTGTGAAAAACAACTTTCGTTTCACCACAATAGCTTTACCTGTTTACACATCCAGTTACATAACATGTTCAAGCCAAGTAAGTGAAGAGTAAAACATTGACACGTGATTAGGCTTAAGTGACACAGTTCTGGCAAGCCACGGAAGTGCTTTCACTTACATGGATGTATTTGATGCAGAGAAAGTGTCTTCTCTGTTCGTCCAGATCTATCATTCTTTAAGGTAAATTTTTATCTTATTACATTATTTCTGTGGAGGTGAGGAGGTGTGTCAGGCACACACCACGTGAGTGTGTGGGGTCAGAGGGTGACTCTTAGGAGTTCTCTCCTTCTGCTCTGTGAGTCCCAGGCTCGAACTCAGGCCACCAGGCTGAGACTTAACCCACCGAGTTGTCTCATTGGCCCAAATCACTTTTTATAGATGACTTTTCCTTTAGCTATAACGTAATCAATTAATTCATGATGGCCTCCAAACTGGTAAATCAAATGCTCCCATCTAGAAAGAAAGCAAACAGTTGTTCGAGTGCATGTAAATCAAAAGCATCACTGCGTCAGTGAATACTAATTTAAAGTGAATTCTGTGTGAGTGTGTGTGTGTGTTTGTGTGTGTACATTCATGTAAATGTGTGGGGTATGTCTGCTCATCTGTGTGGCTGTGTGTAGAGGCCAGTGGTCCATTTTGGGGTATCTTCCTGAATCCCTCCACCTTATTTTTGAGCAGCTCTGTAGCTGAACCCAGAGTTCTTCTATTTGACTAGACTGGCTGGTGGGCAAACCCCAGGCATTCCTATCTTTGTATTTCCAGTGCCCAGAGCACAGGCCTGTCCTGCCAAGCCTGGCTTTTCACATGGACATTGGTGCTAAGGGCCAGGCCCTCATGTTTGTACAGCAAGTGTTTTATGAACTGAGCCAGTTCCCCAGCCCTGGAACTTTAAAAAACTGATCCGCGAGTGACGCATGCACATTATCTTTGATGGAAGGAGGAGATTCTTCCAGAAGGAAGAAATTATGGAGCTGTTCTCCTCTGGCTGATGAGGGTTAAAAAGACACAACATTCCCAATACTTAGAATTAGACACTATGACCCAGCTTGTAACATTGGAGGCCTAGGTCATAGGAGACCATGGGTGAGTATTAAGAACTCAGGAATAGAACAGCTGAGTAGAGGCTTTGAGAGCCATTTGATTCCATGAGTCAGAGAAAGAATAAGTCGGATCCAGAATGACAAATAGAACTGAAGAGAAGCAACAGGTCAGGGAGGCAAGCACCAAACCAAACACACAGGCCAGGGGACAAGTCCCAAGTCCAGGAAAACAGAAAGAATTGAAGGCCCAAGAAAATCCAGGCCAGCTGAAGAGACTTGAAGGCTGGCTTTATTGTGCAGCGGAGGATCTCAAAGGAGACTTTCTGGTTGAAAGGGGTAAAGAGAGAGGGGCCAGACAGTATGGCATCTGCACAGAGCCTGATACTTAAATAACAAGTGGAAAGGGACCTAAACCCTCTCTGCATCAAATTGGATAGCTAATGGTTACTACAGTTAGCACTAGTTTGGGAGGACACCGACCTGGCTGCGCTGATGATGATGAAATCCCCCTGCTTGCCGACTTCCAGAGATCCGTGTGTGTGAGATTTCCCCAGGGCATAAGCCGCGTTGATGGTAGCAGCGGCCAAGGCCTCTGGCATGGACATTCTCATGTTCACACAGGCCAGGTGCATGACCATTGGCTAAGGCAAGAAGAGAAAGCATTGGAGGAGGACAGAGCAGCGACTTCTAGTTAGGACACTCTCCACACAGCACGAGTGAAGGCAGTTAAATGTGTGTCTGGAAGGAATAGCTCAGGAATAGTTTGTGCTTAGTGTGTAAAAGGCCTCAGATTTTATTCCACTCCACTTCCTATATATATATATATATATGTATATATATATATTCTATATTACATAATTATATATGATATATTACATGCACATATATAATAATTTACATCTATTATATTTTACATACACATATGTACTATATATATCTAAGTTGCTATTGGAAAATGCAAATTTACACATAACATTCTTACGTTTGGGGGAAATTCCTTTATTATTTAATAGTACTGTGTGTTTAATATTTACTTAGAGCTTTTCAAGACCTTTTGCTGTGGAAGAAGCTTGCCTCCACCCCTACTCATTAAATCCTCACTGAGTTTCCTATGTATGCCCCAGAGAAAGAAAATGGCTTAGTCTCAAAGATGATTATCAGAAGATAATTCAAATCGAGATTTATCTCTTCAGACAGGGATGCATGTGTGTAAAGAAAAATTCAGTTATGCCCCTGATTACATGCTTCTCCTTTTTCCTCTCAGGGAAATATTTTTATATTTTAAAATACATTTCTACAACTAATGCAAAATTTATATATGCTCCGTAGTTTACTCTGTTCAGAGAAATATCTGGAAAATAATTACCATCGAAAAGCAGTATGCATTGGGGTTGAAATCGCTGCCCAGAGCAACTATGACTCCCTCATCTAACATCTTCCTGGCTTGAGGCTGCTTCAGCCTAAGAGGGAGGGAGAGAAAGGTGTCAGTCTCCAACTGGAACTTTTGCAGAATAGATGCAAGAATGAAGAGGACATTCCATGTCCGAGACGAGGAGAGAAAGCTCCAGGGTAAGTTGTGGAGGGGAGGGGAGCATGAACATTACCCAACATTTTAAGGAGTTACCTATGATTTGCACCTTAGGTGGATGACTGCTGCTGCATCTCGTCATCTAAGTGTCCACCATCATTAACACTCGAAGGTTTTTGTTGTTATGTTTGTTTGTTTTTACACTGAGCCTCTGAAGTCTGTGTCCTCACAAGATGTATTTGAAGGCATTGTGTTACAGTAAGAAAGGCCCTTACCTCAGCATGTAGGCCGTGGTAGGCAGAAGGACGGCAGAACACCCAGCCGCAGCCATGGCAGCAATGCCTTTGTCGCTTACTTCCTCCAGGTGGCTGATTGCCCGTGCTCCCAGTTCAGCCCCAAGCTAGGCAGAACGGGCAGAGAGGGAGAGCTTTAACAATACAATGAGAATTCAATGAAACACCATGGCATGTCTTCCCCTGCTCTGTGAAGAATTCTTGTCAAGTACTTCTGCTGAGTCCCCAGACAGATAGAGGGCTTGTCACAGACAGCCATTTGAAGATTAGCATGTTGGTGGTAAAGCTAGTCTTAAAGTGGGGTGTGGTGGCTCACATCTGTAATCCAAGCACTTGTAAGACTGAGGCAGGAGGATTGCCAGCCTACGCTGGCTACACAGTAAGTTCCAGGCCAGCCAGAGCAGTATAGGAAGACCTTATTTCAAAAAGCAACAAAAAAAGCAAACACACAAAATTAATCTTAAACATAATTGGTATTTTCTGAAACAATTTTTTGACTCTCTAAGATCAGCATTAAAAAAAAAGAGAACAATATTAGTAAAAATTAAAAAAAAAATCTAATTATTCCAGCGTTCACAGAAACGGATCGAAGATGGCTATCTTGACATTCCATCCACTCTGGAAAAAAAAAGTTTAGCTAAAAAAAAAAAAAAACCTAAATAGTTTGAGGCTGTGGACTTGAAAGTGTCTTTTTTTTCTCCAGCAGAAACATTGGGACTTGATTGACATCAGATGGCTCAGAGAAGCACTGCATGATGAGCAGGGAAGCTTTACAGAGGTCCTCTTCTCGGCTTCCTCTGTCGTGGACTTTTCATTCCTGACTGCCCAGGTTTCACACACGCACACACAATCCCCAGACTGAAGACCGGCATGCTAAACAACCCAAGAGAAAGAATGCAGACTGACCCTTGCTGTTAAACCGTGGCTGGGAGAGGCTGCCGAGCCTTACCGGAGCGAGGTGTGGACCGGATTGAGGTGCGGACCCCTGCCATCCACACTGTGCTCCAGTCTTAACATATCTGGATCCGGGGATCTGGGAGGTCTGGTGGTCCACAGGAAACTCTTAGGGGCTGTTTCTCTCTGACTTTGGAATCTCCCTTGCTTTTCAAATCTTATTAAGGGTATTGGATTCTCTCAGTTTAATTCACGGGTTTCTCTCTCTCTCTCTCTCTCTCTCTCTCTCTCTCTCTCTGACTAATAGTAACTCACAGGCCACACAGATCACATTAATTCAACAGAGCTGGGAAACATTGCTTGCAAAACTCTTTCTATACCCCAGGCACTGTACTGACCTCCACGGATGGGGAGTTGTAAGTGTTGGGTGCAAGTGTAGCCAGTGGGGGGGAAAAAAAAACAAAACAAAAAAAAAAAAAAAAAAAAACAAGTGAAGCCACAATCCAGTCTTCAGGAGATTTGAGATGGGGTCCCAGAGGAGTGGGAGCTAAGGTGGTATGTGGATGAGAGTGTGAACTAGAAAAACAGCAGGTGCGGGTATAGGATATTAATGGTACTCTGTCACTGCTGGTTTGTGATAGTGAGGCAGAGGGGGTGAAAAGAGAGGAGAGAGGGAATGAAAAATAAGGAAGGCCCAGTTCCTGGTACAACATTCTAAGCTTTGCCTTAGGGTTTTTGTTGCTGCAGTGAAACACTAGCAACATAAAGCAAGTTGGAGGTGGGGTTATTTGGCTTACATTTCCACATCACTGTTCATCATCAAAGGAAGTCAGGACAGGAACTCAAATAGGGCAGGATCCTGGGGGCAGGAACTGAAGCAGAGGCCAGGGAAGAGTGCTGCTTACTGGCTTGCTTCTCAAGGCTTTCTCAGCCTCCCTTGTTATGGAATTCCAGGACCACCAGGCCAGGGATGGCCCCACCCACAGTGAGCTGGGCCCTCCCCCATCAGTCACTAATTAAGACAATGCCTTACAGCCAAATCTTATGGAGGCATTTTCTCAACTGGGGCTCCCTCCTTCTAGCCTCTGTGAAGTAGACATAAAATTAGCCATCACAACTGACTGCTATTCAACATGATACACACATGTGTTAAGTCACAATCTTTCCTTTTTTCATTCATTCCAAAAAGCACACATTAATAGAAACATTACAATACAAACATTCCAATTTTTAAAAGTCCCAGTCTTTAAAAAATTCCAGTGTGTTAAAGCCTGTAAGAGGGGGAGGATGGGCTGCCTAGGGGAAATGGGTTAGAGGGCAGCATTCAAATGGCCTCCGTGGGAGAGGATACACTCAGTCCTGCTGCAAATGGATGTACCAGGGTGGGTTGGTACCCTTGGGGAAACCTTCCCTTCTCTGAAGAGAATGGGAAGGAGTGGGGAGAAAGGGTCGGGGGGGGGTCTGGGAGAAGATGAGGGAGGGCGCTTCAATCAGGCTATAAAGTGAATGAATAAATTAACGGGAAAAATGGAGAGAAGATTGAAGGGAAAGAGAGCAGTGCCAAAATCCCAGTAGGTTGCTGGTGGTTTGAGCCACACAATGATGTCAGGGACAGGGGCATAGAGAAACTCGGGAACAGAACTGAGCAGACTTGATGACCGGCTGAAAGGGAGGGAGGATTCAGATTGATGTCCTACATTGTTTACTTGGCTAACAGACAGTAAACAGACGGTGGTGTTCACTGAGGTATGAAACAGAGGCCAGGGTTTGAGAGCGACACTAAGACAGCAAGTGAGACGTGCCGAACTTGAGCCACAGGAGGGGCACTGCAACTGTTTGTGTCTCAAGGGTGGCGGGTGTTTTATTCAGCTCTAGGCTTACAGGAGGGAGACATAGACGCAGCTGGGCATTATGGCACACCTTTAATCCCAGCACTTGGGAGGCAGAAGCAGGTGGATCTCTAAGAGTTTGAGGCCAGCCTGGACTACATAGTGAGTACCAGGACAGCCAAGTCTATTCCTCATTACCTTCCTCGTTGCTGGAATCTTCCTAGCACACTGTGGAAAGATGAATGAATGAACCAGGGCAGCATGTACAGCCATGCATGTCATCCTGTCTTTCCATGTACTGTACAACATTGATCTGTTGCTATCACAGAGGGTCATAAAAGCTTCGTGAGAGCTGGAAGCACCACGCTAGTGTATCTCTGTGTAGTGTGAAAGTTGGTCCTGAGTTTGCTTTCTACTGCTGTCTATAAGATCACCACCAAAGCAACTCAGGGGGAAAGGGCTTATTTCCTCTTAAGTGGTTCTGGTCCATCATTACAAGAAGTCAGGGCAGAAACTCAAGGCAGGATCTAGAGGTGCAAAGTGAAGCAGAGGCCATGGAGGAGTGCTGCCTACTGGCGTGCTCCCTGTCGCTTGCTTAGCCTGCTTTCCTATGCCATCCAGCTCTACCTGCCCAGAGGTGGCATCACCCCCATGTGCTGGATCCTCCCACGGCAGTCGGTAATCAGGAAAATGCCTCGAAGGCTTGCCCACATGCTAGTGTTATGGAGGCCTTGAGAAACTTCTCTCAAGTAAGGTTTCTTCCTCCAAGATGACCCTTCTTTGCATCGGATTGACAAAACCAAAACAAAAAAACTAACCAGCACAATCATCATCTTGACTAGACTGGAAAATCACAATGGAGACAAAGCTCTTCATGTGTCTATGACAGCATTTCCAGAGAGGTTTAGCAGAGGGGTAAAGACTCCCTGAATATGGGTGATGCCATTGAGGTCTTAGATTGAATAAAAAGGAAGAAGCAAGTGAAGTCCCAGCATTCCTCTGCTTCCTGACTGGCTGCAATGTGACAGCTGCCTCACATTTCTGCTGCCAAGACTTCCCCACCTTAACAGACTATGTCCCCAAACCATGAGCCAAAATAAGCCCTTCCCCTCTAGAGCTGCTTCTTCTGGGTACTTGTCATAGTCAAAGAAAAGTAGCTAATACACATGCCATCCAGAATATGCCACTAACTTGGTACAGGAGATCCCAGGGGTGCTTCTCTTCCCATGACTAGCACCAGGAGGGGACGATAAAAGAAATGATCTGGCTGGCATAGCGCAGTGCTCAAGCACCTGCTCTGCAAGCACGGGACAATGGCTGCCTCAGGAAGCAGCGGGCAAACAGAAATAAGCTGTGTGTACAGATTTGTGTCCAAGTCTGTGTGTAGATATGAATACACATGAGCCTGTGAGGATCCTTCCGTGTGTGCGTGTGTGTGTGTGTGTGTGTGTGTGTGCAAGTGTGTATGTGTATATGTGTATGTCTGTGTGTGTTTGCATTTGTCTCTGACTATGAGTATGTCTTGTATGTATGTATGTGTGTGTGTATCTCTGTGTGCATGTGTGAATGTGAGTGCCTCTATGTGTGTCTGTTGTGAATGTGTGTAAATATGAGTGTCTGAGTGTGTGTGTGTGTGTGTGTGTGTGTGTGTGTGTGTGAATGTGTGGAGGTCAGAGGATAACCTCAAGTTTTGTTCCTCAGGCATTAGTCACCTGTTTATCTGTGTAGCCTTCCTTCTTCCCTTTCTTTCTCCCTTCTCCTCTCCCTCCCTCCCTTTTTTCCATTCTTCCTCCCTTTCTTCCTTCTTTTTTTTCTTTTTCACAAGGTCTTTTTTGTAGGTCTGGAATTCACCAAGTACTTAACCCAGCTATCTGTTTATCTTTACCTGTCAAAGGCCAGGATTATAAGCACATAGCATCATGCCTAGATGGCTTTACAGGGATCCTGCGGATCAGACTTGGGTCTTTGTACTTCCAAGGCCAGCGTTTTATTGAGGGAACCATGTCGTGATTCCTCAAGAAAGTTTCTGCAGAAGCCAGAGATTCACAGGCTCAGCCAGACCAGAAACTTCCCATTCTCTATCTTTCAGAAGGCTACTCCTAACTCGGAACAAATGAATCACTTTTTCTGTGCCACAGGTGTCCAGGAAGCCAATGGTCAGCCATACCTCAGCAGCCTTCATTGGGTGGAGCTCATCCCCATGGAAGTTGATCTGTAAGCCCATCTCTTTCCCGGCTTTGAGAATCCTTCTGGTAGTATCCAGCTCAAAGACGCCCTTCTCACAGAACACGTCTATGTTGTCCACATGTAGTTCCCCATTTTGACCAAGTTCCTTCAGCCGCGGCAGCTGGTTACTGATGATGTCATCAGCAGCTTCAACTGCAGTTTTTCCTCTAATGGAAGAAAATGAGATTATCTTGGGCATATTCTTTATAAATGTGATACTTGGATGTTTTGATATGCATATTCTTTAATATATGTGATATGTAATGCATTGCATATAATATGCATGTAATACATATACTTATTATGTGTCCTATATGCACATTTAAGAATATATATAGTTCAATAAAAGAAGGATAATAAACAGTATAGGCAAATGAGCTTAAGCTTCATAAAGGGAGAGAAAGAGTCTAGAAAAGAACTCAGAAGCCAGGTGTGGTCGCACACACCTGTAATCCCAGCATTCAGGGAGGCAGAGGCAAGCAGATCTCTTGAGTTCAAGGTCAGCCTGGTTTATAAAATGAGTCCAGGACAGCCAAGGCTACACAGAGAAACCCTGATTCAAAAAGAAAAGGAAAGGAAAGAAAAGAAAGAAGAGAACTTAGAAGTCAGAACATTTGGCAGTTGTGCTGTGCTCGACTTCAGCTACAGGACTTTATTATACACAGAGATGTAAACTGCTCAGCTTCACTAGGCTCTATGGCCTTTGGGGATGCCACCAAGGCCATATTCACCAAGGCTGAATCTCTGTATAAGGACACTTAGAGGGCACCCTGACCCCAGCTGTCACACTGCCTTTTCTTCTTCTCTAGTCACATGTTTTCATAAAGCCTTTACCTAAGGCCTTCTCTCCCCCTAACAGGAGTGGAACAGGGAGAAAGCTTTACAATCCTCTGTAAAATTTGGGTGCTGTTAGCCATGAGCAAGGGCAGAGCCTTTGACATCAGACAGACAGGGGGCACCCCCATTCCTACTCACTCCATAATTTTAGACAAGTGATTTGGCTGTTATCTGCAAATCATCGGTAAATCAGTAGGAATGAAGACACAAGCTTTAGGGGCTCATTGGCAGCTGGAGATGGTTTCTATAAACTCCAGCCTTGAGTTGGGTGTAGTAGCACACACCTTTAATCCCAGCACTCTGGGAGGCAGAGGCAGGTGGATCACCATGGCTGTGAGCTTGAGGCCAGCCTGGTCTACAAAGCAAGTCCAGGACAGCCAAGGCTACACAGAGAAATCTTGCCTCAAAAAAAAAAAAAAATTTTTTTTTTTCAAAAACCAAACCAAAACAAAAGCTAAAAACAAAAACAAAAAAACTCCAGCCTTGTATTTGTACTTGACACAAAGGCTCACACAGCAACACATGGAGATGGACCAGAAGAAGTCACCAAGAAAGGTGTTTGCATAAATTATGTCTGCTTCTCACACAGTAATATAGAACAGGGTGCATGTAAGTCTTAACTACCTACATGTTATTCGTGTTTGAAGGCATTAAGAAACGCTCTTAAAAATCACATTAGCTAGCAGTTAATCGGCATTTAAACTCAGGATTCGATACTTAAAAAAGTTCAAAAGGCAGGCTGTTCCGTACTTTATATTCCACTTGAGAACACCTACCTCTTACAATAGACAGGATCTTTCAAAAGTCTCAGCTAAAACTTTAATACTTTCAAAAATATAAATTCTAAAGCTTAAAACAAAGATTACTGAAAAAATTAAATATTTATGTTTTGTTTTTTTGTTTTTGTTTTTGTTTTGCATGAGCAGTTGTATATTTTTTTCATTGAGTCAGGATCTCACTGTGTAGCCCCGGCTGGCCTGGAACTTGCTCTGTAGACCAGACCAGGCTAGCTTCAAACTTACAGAGCCCCTCCAGCTTATGCCTTCTGAGTGCTGATATTAAAGGCGCCTCTGGAGTGTTTTGTTTTGTTGTTATTATACAAAACGTCAGCCTTAATTTTTTTGGTTCCTCTAATTGAAGGTAGTGAATGTCAACATTCACCATTATATTCCTATACAACACAGCGACATAGTGATTAGCAGCATGCTGTATTCCCTTAAACCACGCCAAAACGGAAAGGAAGCCTTGCCCCACGAACAGCAGCAAGTGGCGTCATGCATATGCCAGCGTGATTCAGCCTCTTCACGATGTATGCACATTTCCAAACATCCTGTATACAATACATACTCACAGTTTTAAATGTTCAAATAACGTATATTTTAAAGTTCATAAGAGTAAAAAAAAATTAAATGAAATTCTTTAAATATAGGTATTGTTTGTAACATAAGTCTGTGGCAGGTACATGCTCCGTTCATCAAGCTCAAGACTGGGCAGAGAGTTTGGAGACACCTGCTCTGTCAACCTTTCAGATCTGTCTACAAGTTCCAGGACAGAAAGGAACGGAACAGCCATGATATAAGCACAGAAGGAGCATGGAATTATTTGCAATTGAGTTAACAGATTAGCAAACGCCCTTCTGCGGACGCTTAGACTGCACAATTTTATCTCGTAGAGGAAGTAACTAGTAATTTTTCCAGCGCTTTATGCTAATGATTAGCATGGGAAAGTATTTGAATTAGCAGCTTTAATTTGAAAGGACTCGCAAAGGGCCGTTCTTCATACTGTCGAAAAGAAGGCTTGGAGTAATTGCCTCCTTTTTCATCCTTAAAGGACTAGGAAAACTGCTGTTGGGACCCTCTTCCTAGAAATCGCCTGGGCAGCAAGCTTCTCTTGATGGTCTTCTGGCAAAAGCTGTAGTGCTAGAGCGCCTCCACCCTCCAGAGAACACAGCCCTGGCTCTGTTCCTAGTGCCTGAGTGACAGCTGGACCCCACCATGGCGATTACTTGGGTACTGAGTGAGCCCCGCAGTAAGTGGCAGAGACGCTGAGGGGCAGCTCCCGCCGGGCGCGCTCGATTACACGCAGCATCTTGAGCTCCGTCTCCAGGTCGAGGCCGTATCCGCTCTTGCACTCCACTAGCGTGCTGCCGGCCCTCATCATGCACCGCAGCCGCTGCTGGAAGGAGCGGAACAGTTCCTCCTCCGAGGCTTGGCGGGTGTGCTCCACCGTGAAGTTGATCCCTCCGCCAGCCTGGTGAATGTCCATGTACGTGGCCCCTGCCAACTGAACGCATGTCTCACTCAAGGATGGTCCAGGCAGGTTTGCAGAACCTGCCTCCAGGGGTGATAATAGAAGAGGACTAAGGGGTTCAGCAGTAAAGAGCGGGTGCTGCTGTTGCAGAGGACTAAGATTCGGGTCCCAGCATCCACATGGCAGCTCACAACCAGCTCCAGGGGAATATCTGTGTGTGTGTGTGTGTGTGTGTGTGTGTGTGTGTGTGTGTGTGTGTCTGTCTGTCCCTGTCTCCGTCTCTCTCTCTCTCACACACACAATTTAAAAATAAAAATAAAGCTAAAATAAAAAATCAGTTTTACAAGACAGTTAAGAAGAAGCTGGGTACACTTGCAGGCCTTTGATGCCAGCACTCAGGAAGTGGAGGCAAGGGGATCAGAAACTCAAGGCCTACTTCAGCTATATAGGGAGTTAGAGGCCAACCCGTGCTACATGAGACCCTAATTCAGCCAATCAGTGAAATTAGTTTAAGAAACAGTAGGACACAGGCACCAACAGCCAGATCAGAAAGGAGGACACAGTACTTGAAGACCCTCCGAGCTGTGCGGACGGATACTTGGGCAGTGGAGATGGGTGATGTGGAACGTGGGCAAATGAGCACCTCTGAAGGCTGTGATACTTAACACTCAGATACAGGAATATTTCAGCGTTTTAACAGTGAGGCCAGCCCCAGCAGATAACCAGCCCAGCCTCAGCTCATTCTAGGTCCCTCGGCATGTTTGAGAAAACAAAGCTTAGAAGGTTTCAGGAACTCAAAGCAATTATTCAGCTTTCTACCAACCAAGCACAAAGGCAGACTCCATGTCCTTTGGGTACCAGAGTTTGGAACCTAATGTCTGTCACTCAAACAAATAAAGAGGTTCTTATTGTAATCCTAGTATCACTAGTTATCTGGACAGCAGGAAGTGGTACAGCTAAAGTGTGCAAGGCTCTGGGCTAGACTTGGCCTGGCCCTGCTGTCCTCAGCTCGCTTACATCCTCCCTTCCCCAGACCTCACTTTCTCCATCATCAGTATGCTAAGAGCATTTGGACCACAATCTCTAAGATGGCTTTTAGTTCTGAAATTCAGTTCAATAATAAAATTATCTTAAAAGCAGTTCCGATTTGTTGAAGAATCTTGTATCAAGATAGCTGAAGAAGAGGATTCTTATCCTATTTTCCAAAATTATGTAATATCACTGCTACGCTGCACGTTTTTTTTCTCCTTAAAAATGTGATCATGATTGCATTTTCAAACTGACTCCTGTTACTGATATAACTACATTTTATGTTCTTCATAAGTTTCATATTTCTAAGGAAAAAAAGAGAATAATGTAAGGCATTTTATTTTTTTGTTTAGTAATGTTTTTTCCAAGTTCATCTACAGTGAACAGTGATTTTCAAACTATTTCTTGAAACCCATTCAAAAGTTACTTGTTCAAAATTACAAGTAATGATTTAGAATACAGAAAGGGAATAGAATCAGCTAGCAAGTTCTTGAACTCTGTGCTTAAAAAAAAGTTTATTCTTGCAAGCAGACATCATATAAAGATTTGGGGCCATTTCAACTAAGTCAATTTTATTGTCATTTGTGTTCCTTATTAAGAGGAGTAAAGATAACTATTGAAAAGATACGCAGCATAGCTTGGCCACTTAGGTAATCATTAGAAGAGACATCCTGTTTGTGCTTTATTGATTGGCTGTTGTTCACTTCGGTTACCTTCATGGCGAACTCATGGACTCTTTCACCAGCCCACACCGGATGTGTGTGTGCGTCCACCAAACCTGCAACCAAAGGCGAGAAACAGAAGGTGCTTACACCGTGTGTGCCTGACTGTCCCACACTGCTCTGAACGCATAGTGATGGCCATCCAGCTTGGAGGAGGGAGAGTGCAAGACTTGGTGAGGTTCCCTCTATGCGGCTGATCTAGAAAGTTCTAATACAGGAGAATAACTCAACACAATGCAAACGTCCCTTAGAGACACCCAGCTCGAATGTTCGGTATGACTTTGGTGAGAATGACATCACCAAGGAATAGAAAATGCACACCCTGCTACTTTGAGAAGGGATCATAAGGAAGGTGCAACTAGCTTCAAGAAAAACTTAAGAGGACCTGTGATCACTTTAGAGTGTTAAACACGAAACCCCATCGGCAAGGCAGAACTTCAATACGTGGAAGCAACAGATATTTTTTAACACTGTGGTTAAGATTCTTTTGCAAACAGATCAAGGTCCTCTTTACTGTTCTGGAGCCACTGTTAAAACCGTTTTCAGAGTTTTATGGAAAAGAGCATCAGTACCTGGCAAGACACATTTCCCGGAGCAGTCAATTCTTTCCTCAAAAGTCTCTCCGGAAAACTGTCTTTGGATAACGTCAGCAGGGCCAATCGATTTTATGAGCCCATCACTGAAGGGGGGGGGGGGGAGGGAGGAGAAGAAATAGTTACTATGTTTGGGGAAACTTTTCTGGAAAATCTGATTAATGGTTTAAATATGCTTTGGCTGCCCTAAGGTTAGCCACCATTTCTAGTATCTCCTGTTGGCCTAGGTTTTTAGGAAAGAATGTCTACAGTGAACACAAAAAGTCAAACCATGTGTACAAGAGACTGATTTTCTCTAAGACATGTGTTCCACTAGATCCCTAAATTATGCTTGAACACGGGCCCACTCAGAGTAAAGACTACATTTCCTAAACACCCTTAGTCACTGATCCTTATTTGTTGTGACTTGACTCTGAAAGGCCCTCCAAAGGCTCCTGTGTTGAAAGGGTGGCCTCCAATGTAGCAGTGTTCTAAAGCAGGGTTCTGGAAAAGTAATCAGGACCAGAAGGCTCTGGTCTCATCAGTGAATGAAACCATCAATGGCTTCTTTCTTGTTGGGGTACTTGGGAGATGGTGGAATTTAGGACATGGGGCCTGGCTGAAGGGAGTGGGCTCTTGGGAGCATGTTTTTTTGCAACTGTATCTTTTCTCTGGCCCCTCCCTTTCTCTGTGTCTCTGCTTCCTGACCACCATGGGATAAACCTCTTTAATCTCTTCTCCCCCTTCCCAACATTTGACCCATCACAAAGGAGAACAATGTCACAGTGAAACACAAAAGCTCTTTCCTTTGTCATCCCCCCCCCCCCCCCCCCGCACTTTCTCCCAGTAATGGGTCACTCACAGGACTGTGGGGCATTTTGACGAAAGCAAACTTAGGGATAGAGCAAGAAACTAAGATATATTTGTTAAAAATTTAATTTGTATTCTGATTTTGAATCCTGACAGCTTTTATCTGGCTGAGTTCAACAACCTCCCCACTTTGCAGCTGACCAGCTGGTAGAGAGGACCAGCCAGGTTAGAGATTGGCCTATGTATGAATGCAGGGCAAACACGGTACCCGAACTTGGGGCTCCCCTGTTAGGAATCCCTTTCTCTTCTTCTGTCATGTCCCGAAGGGCATGAAGCTGAATTTAACCAGGAATCACAAGGCAAAACAGTCTGGCAAAGGGTTGTGCAGAGCGCTATTTGTGTTTTATGAGTCCTAAATGGAGATCTCAGCCTGTGTAGGATGATTCGGAGGGCTCGGGGTTCTCTCCCGGGCCACACTAACCACACAGTTCTCCGAAAGAACATGGGCTGTCATTCAGTGGGGTGTTCCTAGTGCCATGTTTGAACAAAGCATCCAATGACATGCTTACTCAAGGAAGCTAGAAATCATCTTCCAAAGGCGCTAAGATTTTTGGCCCTTTGGTACCTATTCAACATTCTCAGTGGAATGGTGAGATTTCACTGTTCACTACTAAGTGGGAAAATATAAACTACAAAATGATACATATTCATTCCTTCTCTTCAAACAGTGCAGGTGTTTGCACATTTCTATTTACTTCAGAAAACAACTGGAAAGCAAAGCACCTGAATGTTAGCGTCAGTTCCCTGATGCAGGGTTTGAGTGATTTTGCTGGTCAGCTGGGGTGTTTTTTAAGACAGGGTCTCACTTGGCTGCCCCAGAGCTATGTAAATCAGGCTGTCTTCAGACTTCCTAGCTCTCCCTCCAAAGTGCTGGCATTAAAGGCATGGCCACCATGCCTGACTGTGTAATGCATTCCACTAATGAAGGGGGAAAGAGGAAGGATGTGATGTTAGCGTTATTTAAAAGTGGTTTTGTTTTTTTAGTTCTTGCTTTTTTTTTTTTTTTTTTTTTTTTGAGACAAGGTCTAACACGCAAGCTCTATATGCGGTCTAGGATGGCCTTGGACCACTGACCTGGCTTTCTGTCTCCTAAGTGTTGGGATCACAGACCTGGATCAATATCGGGAATTTTAGGGAGAAAAAAAAATCTACGGAATCTTCCAGAATCCGTACCCAAGCCCACCAGCTAATAGTAGTGCTTAAGACGCTACAGGGGGATTGATGGTCAATGGTCATGATGACCTCTGAAGGTGTTTTGTTGGAGAAAGGGCTTCTGGGGAAGCCCACCCAGCCTGTCCCCGGTACTCTGTACTCACGTGCCCACCACCAGGCTGGCGCCCTCCAGCACGGCCAGGCTGCGCAGCGCCGGCCCGGCCAGGAAGCGCTCTCCGCGGGCACACACCAGCACCACTTGCTGCGCGTTTTCCAACAGGAGGCGGTGGTGGCTCTCCATGGTTGTCCTAGCTGCCGGCCAGATGCGGAGGACGGCAGAGCCCGCGGGCTGTGGCTCCGGGGCGGAAAGGGGCTGGGCAGCGCGGGGCGGGAGCTCGTAAACAGCCAGTGACAGTGACAGAAGCGGTGCCAACAAGCACGGCCTCTAGGCTGTAAACTTTGCTGTGGATGCCGCCTTTTCAGGTCTCCTTTTCAGGTCTTGGGTAAAGGAGATAAAGATTACATCAGCCTCTCTCCAACCCCTAACTTTTTTTTGGGGGGGGGGGGGAAAACCAAACAAACTGAAATTTAGACACTGGGAATTGAACTGGGCAGATGCAGTGGCCAAGGGAAGCGTCAGCCAGGGTGAGCGCAGAACTGAAAGTCAGGAGGGAAAATCTCTGCGGGGGGGGGGGGGGAGTTAGGGGTGGAGACTTGGAAGAAGACTGTGTGCACGAGCATGTGTGTAGTGTGTAGACGGGTGTGTGTCAGAGAGAGACAGAGGGACACACAGAGACAGAGACACACCCTACGGGAAGCTGGGACCCGAACCTGCAGTGGAAACGCAGAAGCAGACGAGTGTGGCAGAGCCGCGCCCGCGAGGCGACAGGCGCACGGGAGGAGGGCTGACTGTACCGAGCAGTTCCTGAGTCCGCGCGGCCTCTAAGCAGAGCTGCGGGTGCCGCGCACTGTTCGGTTGGCCAGCTAGGCTCTAAGGTCTGCTACCAGGCGGTCCCCAAAATGATGGGAACCTGGGGGCAGGGAAGGATGGAGCTGAGACACGGAGTATTGGTTTGCTGTCACTGCCTGCTTTGTCCCTACCGCATTCGGGAAGGTTAGGTCTCAGCTGTGAGGTGAAACCAGATTTGATCTTGGGCGGTCGCTACACAGACCTCTCCACGCTCAAGGTTATAAATGGAGTCCGATTTCTTTAAAGACAGCTGGCAGCACCAGGGTTTGTTTAGATTCCTTTTAAAATATATTTTAAAATATATTTTTTGAGGTTATAATTACACCATTTCCCCCTTCCCTTCCTCCTAAACCTCCCTTGTTCTCTTTCAAATTCAAGACGTCTTTTACCTTGTTGTTACGTATAGATGGTGCGTGTATATCCCTGAATACAGAAATACAACCGGCTCAGTCTGTATAATGTTACTTGTATGTATATGTTTTTAGGGCTTCTCTCTCCCTCGGTCTCTCTCTCTCTCTCACTATGTAACCCTGGCTGTGCTGGAGCTCTCTATGTAGACCAGGATAGCCTTTTTACCACCACACCTAATTTTATTTGGTTTCTATGGTATGTTTCATGCAAAGACAGGAAAGTTACTCTACCTGCTCAGTAAAGACTATACTAGATAGGGGAAAATGACAGAGAAGTATACCGTAAAAGCAGGCTTATTCTGCAAAACCAAAAGGATAATTTTGAGTCACCTTTAAAGCCATTAAAAAACAGAAAAAAAAAAAATCTTTAGACAAACAGATTAGAAACAAATACCCTTTAGCTCTACACTAATGTCCTATACAAAATATAGATGGGGTAGAAAAAAACAAAATTATAATAAGTAGACCATGTGAGAGGGAAAACCCAATGGCTACTCAAAAAGTAGAAACACAATTACAAATGTCTGTGTGATGCCAGTAAATAAATAAATAAGTAAAAATTAGCCCAATGGGATAGTAGATCTGTATGACTTTGAGGCCAGCCTGGTATAGAAGAAGAAGAAATAGCAGACAATAGAAATACAGTCACTTATGCATAGAGAATTCTTGAACTTTCATAGTACAAAATTTCCGCTAACCTGCTACTCTTGGCATGCAAAGGCACACTGGCAGACTTAGTTACAGGTATGAAGGATGGATTTAAATTGGGGTTCAACAGAAGTGTCTTGCTCCTATTTCTGTTACTTCTCCTCTGACCAGACCCCAGGGAATCTATTTTAAAATTCCCCAAGGCATCATTTTCCTAGCCTTATATAGGCACACTTGTTTCTATTTTGTGGGTTTGTTTGACCTTCAGATGAAATATGAGTCACTTGGACCAATACTCACCTATACTTGGGTAGCAAGCATCCCCATTGTTATTAGTTTATTTTAATGCTGTTTTCCTTGACGGTCAGTTCGATTAAGGATTAGACTTCAGGCTATAGTGCCAGTTCCTCCCCTGGCTTCACAGAATGCTTCAGGTACTCTGCATATGGTTTGTACATTCCTGGGAAGCATAAAAGGAAGTTATTCTCCTTTTTCATGGGTATTTGTGTTAGTGGGTGGCTTGAATGCATCTGATTGACCATTCAAGGAGGCATTACCCTAAGAGGCACCTGCAAACAGAGGGTCTGTAGACACAAGAAGCTTAAGGACCAAAAACCTGAGCTTTAGAGAGGCTCGGCTGCCCGTATGGCTCTCCCGAAGGAGCCAAGGTCCGTTTACAGCACCCACATTAGGCTGCTTGCCTGAAACTCAGCTCCAGGGGATCTGACAGCCTCTCCAGATCTTCAGTCATGTGTACACACACACACCATTTAAAACTATCTCCAAACACTTGGCTCTCTGCAGCACCCTCATAGTGCTGGCATTACAAAGCTGCTCTAACATTACCAGACTCTTATGAGGACCCCCTTCCACTAGCCTTCCTTCCACCAGACCCTTGACCTTTAGAGTTTTTCCCCAATTCTGTGGCTTTTTTTTTCCTATTCAATTTGCCAAAGGGGCTATCAGAAATGTCAACAGAAAAGTCCACCTTTTCTGTGACAAGCCTGACGCCAGCAGGGCAAAAGAGGTCAAGTTGACATGCATTTCCTCAACCTTCGGCTCTGCTTCTGACCTAATTAAAAGAGGCATGCCAGAGAGTAGGCCAAGGACCCAAGGGTTCCTGGCTTCTTGGTAAACAACAAAATGCTGGCTCAGATAGATCCACACCGTTCAAGGCCACAGTTCACAGCTTTTCCTCCTAGTATTTGTACAAGGTGGGTGGGGAAGAGGTGAGGAGAATACTGGAAAGTCATTGGGTCAGAGAGAGTTGGTCTGATCTTTACATGGATGTGGGAGATGCCACACACACACACACACACACACACACACACACATGAATAAATAATTTCAGTTAGTGAATTTTCACTGGGTTGTAGGTACAGGGTTATTGAAAGCTGAATGGAAATTGCTTCCAGTGTCTGGTAATATATGCTATAGCTAATGGTATTAATGGCATATAAATGCCATTAATTAATTTTAATGGTATTTTAAATTAGTCTAGAGCTCTATGATTGGACCTTTTAAAACCCCCAATTTGCTTCCAAGAGTCTTCCAACCAGGCTTCCATATTGTCATTTAGGGTGTTTTACAAAGGCCTGTGGTCCATACTCTTTAAACGTCATAAGACAGGGTAGACCATTGTTTATGTTGGAGGACAGGTAAGCCATCATTTCCCACTCACCTTCCATGAGCAGTCACTTTGCAAGAGTTATTGTTCCTCTGAAAGTTGAAGCAAACCTGGGAAGGAACGCATCATGATCCACCCTCCTGGAAGAGACTGCGGAGTAGTCTCATCCTTAGGCTTAAGGGGAAGCCCTGATAGGAGTCAGTTCAGGAGTCAGGGCTCCCTGTCCCCCAGAGCCAGTCTCCCTCAGGGCCATTCTGATGTCCTTGTGAGGCTGTTCATCCAAGGATTCAACTTGGAGGCTGCATAGAATTGTGTGTCTGAGGAATGGGAGGGTTGACTGAATCAGCCAGCACAGTGTTTGTTTGGAAGAAGAGTACCTCACATTCCTGTGTTCCCTTGGGAGGTCTGATGAATGTACCATGTTCCAATCAGAAGCTCTGCACTTTCCAGCAACATATACACCATCCCCTGCACCCTATACAGTCTTTTCTGTCTCTGGTGAGGACAACTCCTGTTCTTGGCCTCAGTGCTTTATTTGACACGCTGCATTTATACTGTCAATGAGCCAGGTAGACTCTTATAAGAGACATCTAATATTCTCCTGCCTCTACTGCTATCCCAAGGGACCTTATTGTCTTCCTTTTCCCAATGACTGCAGCCTCGTAACAGTTCTCTGTCTGATTTCAGTCCCACTCTTTGGTTCCTCCTCAGCTCAGTTGTCAGGGTGAGTCACTGGCCGATTCTCCATTTCAAGAGGTATAGACATAAGGTTATTGTGTAATTTAAATGCTAATTTCTGTACCCCTCCACCCCTGTATCTGGTTGCAGTCCTGGTTCTGAGAATCTACTGTCTCAGTGTTGTGTAGACACTGCTCTCCAATTGTCCCCTGATATGCCAATAAAGCAGTTTACAGTCAATCAATGAGCAGAGGAGAGAACAGGGCTGTCCTTCCTGCCAGGCAAGGGGAGGAGGAGTTAGAGGAAGAAGAAGGGGATTCAGCCACGGGAGAATGCGGCTGGATGAAAGTGCAAGGACCTTTGGGATGTACATTGAGAGGAAACCAAATTAACTTAGAGGTTTAAGAACAGAGCAACTGCGCAGTTACTGCGTTGTGACGTTTATTATTAAACAAATATAAAAGAGTCTCAATTATTTGCTTGATAGCTGGGTTAAGAGAGAAACAGTAACAAACACAGTTTTATCAAAAATAATCCTAACAATGAGGTAAATGACTTCCAACCCCTCACAACCTACAACTTGATGTCTCTCTGGCTTCATCTCTCCATGTTTCCTTTGTACCCAAGTCTCGCTGACCTCCTTACACACACCCCAAACACATCTGGTATCTTCTTATGGCAATATTATCCAACTGTTCATGTGTACGTGGGCACTCTGCTACCATGGGCTGGAAATGTTAATTTGCAAACTCCACGAGGAGACCACCATTCCTATTCCTTTTCAAAGGTGGGGATGTTGAAGAATATAAGGAGACTCCATGGTCATAGTCACTTCACCTGTACAACACTCCACAGTGGTAAGCTGTGGGTGCTTCTGACCTCTTGGTGATTTTCAGCCCCTAGAAACTGGTTCTCAAACTTCCTAATGCTCTGACCCTTTAATATAGTGCCTCATGTCATAATAACCTTCAAGTGTAATTTTTTTCTGTTGCTACTATATAGCTGATTCATACTGTTATGAATCATAATGTAAATATCTGTGTTTTCTGATGATCTTTAGGAGACCCCTGTAAAAAAGACAGGAGACCCCCCCCCACCAAAGGGGTTGTGACCGACAGGTTGAGAGCCACTGTGCTAGATGTTGGATATGAACTGAAGACATAACTTTTGCTAGGTCACTGTAGTGTTTTCTTACACTCAGGACATTGCCCAACTGCCTTTTCCTGAGTGGAGCTAGCTGACTCTCTTCTGCCTCCCTTTGTTCTTCCTCAGACCTCACTAGTCATTCGGGAGATAAATGCAAAGGACAGATAGGCATATCAGGACTTCCAGAGACTGCAGCATCAGTTTGTCATCAGTTTTCTTGCGTTAATGTGGAAAATTTTAAAACTTTAATTAGCATGTTATTGTGTTGGGAACAAAGCCCTGGGACCCTTCCTAAGGGCCTGACCGGGCGGGACATTATTTACTTTCAGGGCTGAGTTGTTTTCTCTAAAGTTTTGGTTTCGTTTTTTATTTTTGTATGTATGTCTTTATTTTGGCAATTCTTTAAGTTTTAAAGCTGAGGTTAAGTACCCGACTGTGCAGCCTCACCCCGAGGCTGGCCGTAAAGAAAGGAGAGTGTGGCAAGCCCATCCCTGTGAGTGCTCCCTTGCCAGCTTTAGGAAATCTAGACTTCACACCCAATTTTCTCTACCCACAGCATTCCTACCCTTTGGAAATATATTAATTGATTGACTGACTGACTAATTGATTGATATTGATTTTGCATGTGTATATGTGTTGAGGTCAGAGGGCCACTGTGAGACTCAGCCTTCTCTAGTTCCTGAGATTCCAACTCTGGCCGTCAGGCTTACCAGAAAGCACCATAACTTCTGAGTCATTTCATCAGCACCCCCCCTTAACTCACAGGCAATGGACACCAGGCAAAGACTGGCCCCAGCCTTACCTAAAGATCATATCGGCAGTTCAGAGTACGGTACGCCACAGCTACACAGCCACCTCTGAGTTACTAAGTAGTGATTTAAGGATGTATTTTATTTTTCAGGCTGGAGACATGACTCAGCCATTAAAGACCAAATGTCAAGAGATTTTTTTGTTTTTGTTTTTAAGTGTGTGTGTGTGTGTCTGGGTGGGCACTCCTGTGAGTGAAGGTGCCTACAGAGGCCAGAAGAGAGGGCCAGAGCCCCACCCCCGCCCCGGAGCTGGAGTGACAGGCAGTTGTGAGCTACCCAACATGGATGCTGGGACCCGTGTTCAGGTCCTCTAGAAGAGTGGGTTCAAGCTCTGAGTGGATGAGTTGTCTCCAGCCTCTCCAAACAGACTGTTTACGATCTTATTACGGGGATATGTTTCATACTGAGCATATTCACTTGTGTCTACAGGATTTTTAAAAGATGTGTTTCTTTTTCTTTGGACAGGACCACAGGACAAAATAGCATCCCAGTATATGCAGAAACCATTGGGTGCTAAAGGTAAAAAAGCCATCAGTTAACATATTCTTCCTGTGTGCTTGATATGATTGTGCTGTGGCTGGGGGTAAGGGAGAAAGCTACATGCCAGCATAAAATGAAAATAACTCGTAAAGCCAGCTGAGAAGTTTTGGCTTGCTGGAGTGCGTTAACTTGTCACTGTTTGCTGGATCGCTTCAGCATCTGATGGCTAAAACAGTTAACCCAGTTACTGTCATGATAAAGGACAGAAGGAGCTGTGCTCTGTGAAAATGTGCCATTTTTCCTCCTCCAACTCCTCCCCTTATCCTCCTGGATTCCCCATAAGATGGGGAATTCCAGTGGCCTGACACAAGGAAGCTCTTGGTTTTCAGTTCCAAATCTGACAAAGATTTAACACCTAAGATGGGTCATGTGCACTCTCTAGGCATGCTCTTTGTTGGAACTGATTAGATTTTATGAAGCTGATTACACACAGCAGATGTGGAAAACAGGCTCAATGTGACAAAGGCTCTGTTTCCTCAGGGATTGAGAAGTTCGAAGAAGGGACGGAGAGAGGGAGCAAGGACCAGTGGAAAGGAAGGAACATGGGTACGTCAGGGAAATATCCCAGAAGCAATCCGTTTTGAAATTCTGTTGTCTTTCCCTTCAGAGTATTCCAAGAGCCCAGCCTCTTCTCAGTCAGACTCCCACTATGGTTTCAGT